ACACACACACACACACACACACACACACACACCCCATACCCCACACACACACCCCCCCTGCGTAGACGGCATGAGCACTTTTGTTAGGTAGCAGAACAGGGACCAGGGGTGTCTACTGGACACGCGCTAATTCAGGCCCCGAGTCAGGTAGGCTGTGGTACACCTGGGTGGGCCCAAATTAGGCCAGGTGGCCTTAATTCAGCCAAGGGGTCAACCAGTACCATCGACCATGCCTCCCGATGGAAAGTCCTAAAGGCCAGAATCCCGAGACCAACCGCCCTCGTCTCCAGCTGTCTGCTTGGGTGTGCCTCTGACTCTCCCTGTCCTCTGTCCTCCCTCCTCTCTCTCTACTCCCTGCCCCCCACCTTCCCGCCACGTGTGGGTGTGCAGCTCCCTGAGGGTGCCTGTGTTCACTTAGTGTAAAGCTGGAAACGTCTCCTATCCTTTATAAACACCCACTTGGATCACCAACCAGGCTTCAGCATGAATTCTTTCAAGGACTGAGGTTATTACCCACTGAGAAATCTTAAGAATTTCACTCTTCTCCACGCCCCACCTCATTGGTTGAGCCCACACCGACATACCTGAGGCCAACACTTCATTCCAATACCTGGAATTCCCTCCAACCGTCAAGATCCCCTTGCCTCAGACCATACGCCCCTCACACATCTCATACACAATGTCCACAACATATACCTGAACACGGACGGCATCAAGCACTGCAGAGACGCCACCAGCCTCTACAACCTCTGCACAGCAAACACGCCAACAACACTGGCCACACTTCCCGGGGAATTCCAACAGCTTAGCCCACCTGACACCAAAGAGCCACACCACCCTTGACATACCATCCCCACAGGCCTACACCTAGCACCATGTGCCTGTCCCATAACACAGTGTTCACATACCGCATCCTTCCACCCAGACCTTATCTCCACCACCACCTTCCATCCCACCGACCCCACTTCAGTGGGCCTACACGCAGCCCCGGGTCTGTGCAGACTCAGCCCAGGTCAAGTCTGTTGACACCCCACCCCCGGCAGGTGGGGCTGTTTCCCAAGCAAAGATGCCCCTGGGCTCTGACAAAGTAGTCTCCCACGGATTTCCCCAGCCACGGGAATACCTGTAGCTAGGTAGCTAGGGTTGGGGCTTGGAGCAGGCGCTGAAGGCCCTTGGAGCTTCATACTTCTGGCCCTCCAAGGAGCCTCCTGCAAGCATGTCCCAGAGGATCAGAAATTTCCCTCGTGCCTGCGTCTTTCAAAGCCCTGGCTCAGTGCTTGCCCCAAAAAATGTTTTTTAAATCATGGGACAGGAAGTTAGAAACTTTGGAGACCGGTTTCCTCTGGGCAGGTCTCTGCACTGCAGGAAGCCCTAATCTAAATGGCCTTCAGGCTCTTACCCCACAAGAGACCCTTAGTAAATACCAAATAATAATAATAATGGTGAGCGGATTTGTTAAGTGCTACTCTGTGCTGCCATCATGCACTTTGTTGTTAGCTATTGTAAAAGAAGCTAACAAGTTTTGCATTTTGAAAGCAGACCTCCCATCTTCTCCCCCCCCAAAAAAATCTCTTACCCTGGACACTAAAGGTCATCTCTTCAAATGTTAGAAATTACGCACTGTAGTGAATATTTTCTCTGTGCTTCCGCCCAACTACAAATTAACCTTTTGAAGTAGCTTGTTTAGTTTCACATAATGGCGGCTAGGTGACCAGGCTCCCAGAAACCAAAAAGACTGGTTTCCTTATTCATTAATTTTATCAACACAGATTCTTTCAGAAAACAATCAAGACTCATGAGCAAATATAGCCTGTTCTCAAAACTTCAGGGGGCTAGTCACCACGACTCACTGATTTTTGTGATTATCTTCTACACTTGTTCTTAGCCAAAAGGCCGAGAAGCAGTTGTGATTATCTTCTAATGACTTATCTAAGTTTCATTTATGCTTCAGTCATACGATAATCTTTTTTTTTTTAACTTAAATGTCAACCAATGAGAAATCGTGTTCAAAGTTCCTGATGAGCACCATATCTTAAAGTCCTAATTAATCAGAGCACTCACTCATTCTCTAATGGTAAGCTGCCCGCACGCTGTCTAAACTCACCACCATGGAGATGGTGCTGACTCATAGCTGCCCTATAAGACAGGGTAGAACTGCCCTGTGAGTTTCCGAGACTGTAACAGTTTACAGGAGTACAAAGCCCTGCCTGTCTCCCTCAGAGCAGAAGGCGGTGTTGAACATGGACCCTGAGGACCGCAGCCCAACCTGTCACCAATACTCCACCAGGTCTCCATAGCACGGCACCAACCTGCACAGCTGTCTGTTAATGTCCTGTCCCGAGTGAGTGATTGATTGTTTTCACTTTTGCATCCAACGATTTTTAAAAATATATAAATCATGTTATTGGGGGCTCTTACAGCTCCTAGAACAACCCATTTATCAATTGCATCAAGCACATTTGTATATTATCCTGTTCAAAACATTTTCTACCTGCCTGAGCCCTTCCTTGGTATCAGCTCCTCATCGTTCCCTTCCCCTCCACCCTCCCCAGAGTGGTTTATTTTTGTTATCGTGCTATTGAGGCTGTTTTTGACACACAGTGAACTCAGGACAGAAGAGCGCCACCCCACAGCATTCTGTAGGTCACAGGATTGAAAATGGCCAGCTCTGTCTCCTGGGGAGCTGCTGCATCGTTTGAAAGCACCACCCTCTCGTTAGCCACCAAGGGCGTCACTGCTGCGCCACCAGGACGCCTGTTATGTGCGATACAGCGTGTTGACGGCTTATTAAGATGGCTGTAGTTATGAGCTCTGGTCTACAGTCCTGGAGACTCCAGCACAGAGAGGCTGAGTCACACAGCTGGAAAAGGGGTGCAGCTGGGATTCAAACTCAGGCAGTCTGATTCCAGGGAACTGGGCTGGGTTTAGCACATCTCCGGTTCAACCTCCACTTCTTCGGAGACTTCTGGATGGCAGAGCCCCAGGGGGGTCTCCACTCGCATGAACACCTGGATTTCCTGAGCTCCTAACCTTGCCATTCCCTAGCTGGGCCCTGGGGGGCACTGAGCACAAGAGACCCGGACGTGATTCCCCCTCTAGGGCTGTGGTTCTCAACCCTATCATACAGTTCCTCATGTTGTGGTGACCCCCTCACACACACCATACGAGTATTTTTGTTGCTACTTCATCACTGTCATGTTGCTACTGTGATGAAGCGTCACGTCAATATCTGATAGGCAGGATGTATTTTCATGGTTACAAATTGAACATCAGGAAAGCATGGTGATGAATCACAAAAACAAGATGTCATTCTATATTGTGAAATATTTATTTCTGATGACAAATAAATGAAATGTTCTTGCCGGGTTCTCATAGGTGGGCGTAGCTGCGTGTGGACGGACACGCCTGAGGCGATAGAGGAGCCGTGTCTTGGTTCCTAAGACCATCGGAAATATGTGTTTTCCACTGGTCTTCGGCGGCCCCCGTGAAAGGGTTGTTTGACCCCCAAAGGGGTCTCGACCCACAGGCTGCGAACCGCTGCCCTAGGAAGTGAACTGGGCGAGGTGTCAGCCCCAGGCAGGAGACGTAGTGATTGAGCAGGTGAGGAGTATGGCAAAGGGGAGAGCTTATTTTGGCTAAAGGGCAAGGTAAGGGCAGCTAGTCATCGTCAAGTAGGATACAGCCCATAGTGACCCTTCGGCACAACGGAACAAACCCTGCCAGGTCCTGCAGGTGAGAGCTCTAAGGTGAGGGCAGCAGAGGGCCTTAACTGCTGCGCCAGGCCTGGGGTTTGTTTTACTATTTTCTTACTGATGCCACGGGCATTTCTATTCTAGCTCCAACAACGCAGGGATCAAGTCAACAAAATAAAGGGTGTCTTGCTTTGGGGTGTGCTTTGTTTTTTAATAGCTATCTGAGCTGAACAGCAAGACAGACGCCTGGCTTATTCTGGCACCAGAAGGAAAGAAGGAAAGGCAAGCCCTCCCACAGGGATTCGACAACTCCTGGGGTTGGAGTTTTAACTCCTTGCTGGGGACAGGGGTCAAGACCAAGGCCCCAGAGACAACTGAGGGCTCACCCCCCCCCCAGCTCCCTGCACAAGGCTGGGCCTGACAAAGGGCTTTCTCAGCAGTGCTCAAAAGAACCAGGACAACGGGTGTGGCCACTCAAGAGACGGTGGATTTCTTCTGTGAGAACGCTGCATCCCAAGCCTCACCGAAGAGCCTGGGTTCAGACCAAGCCTCGGGTGCCAAACCCAGCTCTGAGAAACTCCCCGGGAACCTGCTGAGCCTGTAAGGCTGTGGCAGATGCCAAAGCAAGCAGGCCCCAGGAGGTGTCCATGGGGCCCAGGGAACCCAGCTCTCCCACAGGCTGACTCACTCACAGAAGAGAAACCCCAGGATGTCCAGGCAACCTTCCATATTGCCACTGTTGAGAGAGAGAGGGTTCACCCCCAGGATAAACAGGTAAGTAGGCGCACATAATAATTATCACCCCCTGCTTCCTCCTGACAGCTCTTGGAGGGGGGACATTGAGGATTGGTGAGGTTAACTAATTGGCCTATAACTGCACACAGCAATGGAA